CGTGGGGCCGCTTGCAGCGCTCCTTGTCCTCTAATTAACTAATGAGACGTGATGAGGCACAAGGAGTGACAGGGCCACCGAGTGTGGCATTTCCCTGACAGGATTTCCGAGGGGATGTGGTGATAAACTCTGAAATGGGAGCACTTGGAAATCGAGAACTGCTCAGAAACGCCCAAAATTCTTTAACCCTGTGGATTCTCCTGCATTCCCGAGTGGAAGGCACTGCTGGAAGGAGGGCTGGGAGATCCTGCTTTTCTGGGAGTCTGTCCCTCCTCAAGGCAGTGAGGCACAGTCTTTTTCAAACTTTTTTTTTGTGGGGGTATGTGGCTAAAACTCTCCTGGAATGTTCCAGGCTCGGAGCTAATAAAGCTTTTCCACATAAATTAAATTAGAGGTATCTCATGTTCATCCCTTTGCGTTTCATCACTTTTTGTTTGTGAAACTCAATCCGATGATGCATAATAATAATAATAATAATAATAATAATAATAATAATAATAAATTGTCTAATGAGCAGGAAATCAATCCGTCTCCTGGGCAGTCACTGAATAGCAATAATTTTATTTTAAATCCGTGTTTTTTATATAAAAAACTAACTAAAGCTGAATTAACAGGTTCAGCTGATGTGTGCCTGGATGTGAAGCAGCTCTGGGCTGCTGGGGGTGATTTCTACATGACTTGATGAGATCCAGGGATTGGGACCAGCTCCTTGCCATGGTAACCCCTTCCCACCTGCCAGCCCTGGCTGTGTTTTTGGCAGGCAGGCTCTGAGTTTGAGATGCTGTCTCTCAAAAATTCATCCCCCAGACCAGCCCAGCTGCTCCTCCCAGCTCCTGAGGGGGGGCTGAACTCTGCAGGAGTGAGAACACAAAGTCTGGGCTGGGTGGGAGCAGAGGAGCCCCCTGAGCCTCGCTGGAGGAGCTTTGGGAGGTGCAGGAGGGTGACTGGGGTGTTTGCACAGCCTCAGTGTCAGAGCTGATAGTGGTTATCAATCACTGGAGTCCGACTGTGCCAGGGCACCCAGGGCAGGCTTTGTCTTGAGCTGAGTAAACCCAGCTTGATGAACGCTCTTTGGAGCCCATTCCCAAGGGAACAGAGTCTTGGATCATCTCAGCCCTGGGTGGCTCAGACCAGACTCATCTCCCCAGAGAAGCTCAGGGTGATGAGTGCTCACCCCCAGCTCTGTCCCAGAGCCACCAGCATCACAGGCTGACAGCAAGGGCAGCTCCCAGCTCCTGCTGGAGCTTTTCCCCACAGAAGCATCACTGGGGACTGGTTTTCCAAGGGATTTTTCCATCTTGCTCGTGCTTGATCCCAGGTGCCATCCCCTTCTCCTTTCCTGCTGCTTCAGGGCGAGATGGGAAGAGCAGGAGCAGGAGCAGGAGGGAAATGGGATTGCAGGGAGCTGAGCAGCCCGCTTTGGGCTTTGCTCTGGGATGCCCAGGAAGGGCTGGATTAGCAGATTCCAGAGCAATTTCACATCCCCACGGCTCCCAGGAATGACTCCAGCCCCTCTTTGCTGCTGCTTCCCTCTCCCGTGTCAGATTTTGGCAAGTGAATCCAAACCAAGGCAGAAATCCAGATGTTGGGAGGAATCCCACTCTGCCAGGGATGAAGAGGATTTTCAGGAGCTTCTGGGGAGGGGAGGACAGGCACTCCCACAGCAGCAGCTTTGTCCCGACCGTGGCTCGTGTTTATTTTTAATATCAGCCCCGGTTTTGAGGACAAGGAAAAGGAAAGGGCTCGTTTCCCTAAATCCCACAGGAATGGCAGCTGCGGTTTGGCAGGGATGGGATGGGCTGGGAATGCCTGCGGGAGCCCAGCGGTGGCTGCGAGGCTGCTCATGGTGCCCACCTTTACCCCGGAGAGCAGAAAACATTAACGAGATGTTAATTAACCCAGAGTTTCTCTCACACCCACACCCTGCACACCAGCACTCGAACAGGTTGAACAGAGGGTGTTGGCAGCATCTCGGCCACCCCCCCAAAAATAAAGTGTGAGCAGGACAAAATTTGGTGGAATTTTTAGCTGCTATGGCATCACCTCCTGAATTCCACAGGCAAGAGCCTTCCTGCCAAAAAATAAATCACCAGAGGTCCAGTAGGATCTGCAGAGTGTCCAACAGAGACTCTCCTAAGTGTCCCTTAGGCTGTTGTGTCTTTCCAGGTGGAAATAGAAGAAGATCAAGGGATTTCCAGTTGGAGATGAATTCAGAGAGAGAAGAGGGACACATAACAAAAGCAGTTTGTGCCAGTTTTTAGGGCAGGTTTGGAAAGAATTTGAAAGCAAAGCAGCTCGTGCCTTGGAGTTTATCAAAACAGCAGCAAGAAGGTTTCAGAAGAAAATCTGTCAAGCCCAGCAAAGGATCTTTAAGGAGGAGTTCAGCTGATGCAGAAAGAAAGGACTGAGAGAAGGCAGGACAGGGACAAAGCAGGTCCTGTAATCCCCAGATCTTCTGGGGTACCAAATAACTCCCAAAACAGGAATGGTGCAGGCACAGAAGACAGAGATGGCTCTGAAGGTGCCAGGTTTGGATGCATCCCTGCCCCAGCCACCACCAGAGCACACAGCTCATCCCTCTGCCACATCATGGGATCAAAAGTGGGTCAGGGAAATCTGGGAGAGACTCCTGATGCTCTAGAGTCATATAGGAATTAATGAAATCCTTCCCAAAGTGCTGGAGGAAGGGAGTTTTTAACCTGATTAATATTGTAGGAATACTTTGGGATCAAGGCTGGCTTAAATCTCAGATGGGGTAAGAAAAAATTGTGCTGCCATTAAATAATCAGCTGTCCCAGGGAGGATGAAACCCCACAATCAGCCCATAAATCCTGCAGATGTAATATTTATAACCACTGTGGGTTTATGCTTTTGTGTGGCTCCAGTGCCACAGTCAGAGCAGGTGCAAAAGAAACCAAATGTGGAGTCTTTTTAATTTCCCTCCCCTCTCCTGCAGTGTGACAGGAATTGCTGGCACTCGTGCTGCCTCCTACACTTGTCCCCAGTGCTGTGGACTCTTATGCCACTTTTCCTTCCAGTTTCCTCCCAGTTTCCTCCCACTTTTCCTGACTGTTTCCTACCAGTTTCCTGTCTGTTTTCCTGCCTTTTCCTGCCCATTTCCCTCTGTGAGGAGGGAAGAGCCCACGGGAGCTCTGAGCAGCTTCACTGGGACCCCCAGGCCACGCTGGCACCCCCTAACCCAGGACAGGAACAAGGAGCTGTCACCCATCCCCTGGCACCCAGCAGTGTCCCTGGCACCCAGCAGTGTCCCTGGCACTGGCACCTGGGGTTTCACCCTCTGGATGCTCGCCAGGGGTTGTGTTTTGTGCCCCATCTTCACCACTTCACTCTCCCTGCCCTCTCCATGGAGATGTTTTCCCTGGAAATGCCCAGCACAGGCCGGGCTCCCATCCCAGGTGACACTCAGGTGACTGTGGGCAGTGCCAGCAGAGGTGACAGCTCCAGGACTGTCCCCTGCCTCATTCCCACCTCAGCACAAGAAGTTCCAAATCCCTACTGGGAATTATTTTTACATTCATATATAAATATTTATATATTTATTTATATTTTATGTAAATTCTATATATAAAAATATAAAATATATAAAATATAAAATATATAAAATATAAAATACATAAAATATAAAATATATTAAATATAAAAATATATTAAATTTAAATAATAAATTAAAATGTATATATTTATATATTCCTATATAACTTTATAAATATATAACTATATATTTTATATATTAAATATAATAATATAATAAATTAAATATATAGGTTTATATATAATTATATTTATATATACGAATTTATATATATTAATATATTAACATATTAATATATTTTAAATATAATAATATAATACAATTATATGTATATAGATAAATTTAATATATAATTTTTTAAAAAAAACTTTTTAATTTTTTTTTTACATTTGGCCTCACTATTCCCCATCCAGAGTCACTTCCCTGCTGCTTCTCCCTTCCCCCAGGGACAAGGTGAGCTCTCAGGGCAGGGCCAGCAGCACTGCAGGAATTCCAGGCCTATTCCAGATGTTTCCATCCCAACACACCCCAGTGCAGAGATGGAGAATTTATTTAAGCCCCTGCAGCCACAGTTGGTGACTCCTGGCTCAGGCGCAGCCCCAGCCCCTGCTCCTCCTCCTCCCCATACATATTTATGAGCCAAATTATCACTGAACAAGCAGGTTGCTGTGCAAATAAATGATTTTTAATCTAAATTACCCAGTTTACACACTCCCCCCAGCTCTGCTTAGCAGAACAGCTGGTGTTTACCAGCTCCTCATCACTGATCCAGGCAACACCAGGAGACGCTGCCCAGAGAGGAGCAGCCACCTCTGAGATAGGCTGAGCTCCAGCTTGTCCCTGCCTCATCCTCCTCATCAGGTCTCTCATCCAGCCCCGTCTGCACCACTGTGCCACGAAGGAATGATGAAAAAATGTCTGCTGATAACAAGTGTTATTGTTGGGTGCTGTATTTCTGCAGAAAAGAGTCGTCATTTGGATGAAAATCCAAATAAACCCAGCTCTCTGTATTTCCATTCATCAGCGTTTCCCTTCTCCTGATTCCAGGGGAGGCTCACAGCGGAGCTCAGATGATGCAAGAATTATTCCTGTCGTGGCATTTCCACTGTCCAAGAATGAACATATGTGAGAGAAACCCGGCCCCTGGTTATCCCAGGCCTTCAAGGGCTCCCTGAGGCATTAAACAAACAGGGGCTCACTGGGACTGGGGGACTGCCAGGTCAAAGTGGGGAAGGACTGGAGCACCAAAGCCAAAGCAGGGATGTTCCTGCAGCTCCTGGCACGCTCTGGGAGCGCTGGGAAGGAAGGTGCTGCTCTGAGCTGCTGCACAGCAGGTCCATTTCCAGCCTGGCAGGCTGCAGGGAGGAAGGAAAACTCCTGGCCTGGGCATGGAACAGGGCATCACACGTGGTTCGGGAAGGAGTCACGAGCCACAGCACACACGGTGTCAGAAATGGAGGACACTGGTGGTCAATGCCTTCTGCAGGATAATTCTTGCGTTCCCTACCTTCTCTTCCTGCAGCCTTCTCCAGGATAATTCCTCCAGGATAATTATCCAGCTTCTCCAGGATAATTCTTGTGTTCCCTTGCTTCTCTTCCTGCAGCCTTCTCCAGGATAATTCCTCCAGGATAATTATCCAGCTTTTCCAGGATAATCCCTGTGTTCCCACATTCCTGGGAGAATTTCTGTGGAGAATTCCTGTGGAGCTCTCCCTGGAGCCTTCTCCTGGAGCAGCAGCACAGCCTGTGCCCCTCCTGCTGTGTCCCAAAAAATGCCCCAGGAGTGAGGGACAACATCCCCATCCTGGGCAGGGGGAGGATGACAGGAGCTCCAGGAGCTGAGCCACCACCTGGTGACCTCCTCTGGCACAAAGTCCCCAAATTTCTCTGCCCACAAAACTGGTGGCTGGAGGGATGGAATATCCTCATTTTTCCTTGGGCACCAACCCAGGACTTGGTAGACACAAACAACAGCTTTAAAATTCACTGTATTATGAATTTTAATCAGCCCTGGCCACCCTGAGCTCATCCTGGCCACCCTGAACAGGCAGATGAGGGAGAGGGAAAATGATATTTTATAGGATGCTCCCAAGGAGGAAGATTTTTTCCCCCTGCAGACACCACAAATTTGTTTTGTTGTGATTTAAGGAGGACACATCTGGTTTCAAAGCAGTTCCAGAGTCCCTGCAAATCAGAACATCTCTGATGGACTCCTGGAGCTCGGCTGAGTTAGGCCAGCTCAGACACTGAGCCTGGGTGTTTGAACAAAGCCCTCAGGGCTTCCAGATCCATCCCAGCTCCTCTCCACAGCCTGATTTCCAGCTGTCCATCTTCCTCCTGGCGCAAAGATGTGGGATCGTGCTTCTCCCCGTGTGTGAAAAGACCCAGAGGATGGTAAGGGGTTGGAATGATTGGAATGGTCCTTAAAAACCATCTAGACCAAAAGGAAAATGGGAACTGGCTGAAAATCTACAGAAAATACCCTGCCCTGGTGTGGTGAGCACCAAGCACCTGCAGCGAGCTCCGGCAGCGCACTGGGGTGGGCAGGGAGGTTTTGGGGAGCCCTGAGCTCGCTGGGTTTCACCCAGGATGAAGATTTCCCTCCTCTGGGCTGGGCTCTGAGGCTGCCCGGCAGGAACTCGGTAAACAAGAGGTAAATAATCATTGCCCCGGTGACAAACGCCCTCGGAGGGATTGGAAGAGGAAGCTGAAGCCGGCGTTTGCAGAGAGCAGGGAGGAAATAAATATTCTGCATTTAACAATCTCAGGCAGGGCAGCACGGGCAGGGAGGTGGAGGAACTGGGAGCAAGCTCTGCCTGTGAAGCCCCAGATGGCCACAGGTTGTCAAAGCAAAGCGATCAGCCGGGAAAACCTCTCCTTCTTCCCTGTCCTCCAGCCCGGAGTGAGAGCCGAGCCCGGGGCTCGCAGGGAAGCCGCTCTCGCTGTAAAAATGGGCATTTATTGCTCTCTGGTGGCAGAGATGCACATTCCTGCCGTGTGCCCGGGAGAACATCGGGCTGGAAAATCCCTCAGATCATCGAGCCCGACCATTCCCCGCCGCTAAACCGTGTCCCCAAATGCCACATCACAGGGATGGGGACTCCGGCAGCTCCCCGCTCCGGCGCTCTGCTCCTGTGCTCCTGCTCTGGACCCGGAGCTTGAGGGCAGGGCTGGGTGAGGGTGGGCTCTGCTGGGGGTTTTTGACCCCAGATGAGGCTGGAGCAGCCCCTTTATTCCTCCTCACTTCCCTAATTCTGAGTCTCACTGCCAAAAGCTTTGGTGGTGCTTTTTACAGGAGAGAGATTCCATCACAGACCTCGCGGGGCAGGAGAGGATAACAACCAGGCATAAATAAAGGAGCTGCTGTCTCAAACACGTTTGGGTTGGGCTGAGCTGCTCCAAGGTGTGGGGACAAGCAGGCACATGGCAGCACTCCCCAGTCCCCATCCTGCTTGTGAAACCTCCCAGGAGCTCAGCCCTGCTGCACCACCAGCTCCAGCCCTGCTGCTGGGCCCTCATCCTGCCCTGGCTGTGCCACCTCCTCTGCAGGCACAGCCCTGCTCCTGAAAAACGAGGGCAGGATCCCAAGTGCTTGGGATGAGGAGCCCAAACCCTTCCAGCTCTTCAGGATGCGGTGAAGGACCTCTCCTGGGCCGGTTCTGGAGAGCACACGGACCTTGCTGCTGACGGCTCCCACTGGTGTCCCCAGGGTGGCAGATGGGTCACACCACGTGGCCACCTTCGCTCAGCCACCGGGGCCGCTCCGTGGCACAGCCTGGGGTGCCCTCAGGTCCCCCTGGGGCTCCAGGGATGGCACCCAGCTTGGCACGGAGCAGGGCTTGCAGCTCCCGGTCTCCCAGCTCGGCGGCTGCGGCGAGGGCCAGCAGGAAGTAGGAGGCTGCGTCCTGTTCATCCTGAGCAGAAAGCACGGGGCAGGTGTCAGGAAGGAGCTTCACTGGAGGTCATGGGGCAGGACGGAGCTGGAGCAGAGCTGGGGACATCTGATTTCACTGGAATGGTGCCAAATGCCAGCACTTCTTCCCAAATTACCTCCCCCACTTCAAAAGCAGATGTGACCTCCAGCCTCAGCTCTCCATCCAAGCCACAGCCCCATGGGAAGGCTCCTCTCTTACCTGCAGCTTGTGCAGAGCCAGGTTGCCCAGGTGCCAGTAGACCTTGCAGTAGTACAGAGCTTCTGCTGAGCTCTGCAGCACGGGGGGACGCATGGCCAGGGTCTTCAGGTAGCAATCCTCGGCCATCTCGTACATGTGCAGCAAGTCATAGGCTGTGGCCAGGCGGTGGAAGGCAACCAGCTCCTGCAGATGATCCCCTGGAAAAGAGAGGGGTGGAATCAGCCAGCTCCTGCCATGGATCTCCTGGAGAAGAGAGGGGTGGAATCAGCCAGCTCCTGCAGATGATCCCCTGGAAAAGAGAGGGGTGGAATCAGCCAGCTCCTGCCATGGATCTGGAAAATAGGTGGGCAGAATCACCCAGTTCCTGCAGCTGATCCCCTGGAAAGTGGTGGGCAGAATCAACCAGCTCCTGCCATGATCTCCTGGAAAAGAGAGGGGTGGAATCAACCATCTCCTGCCATGGATCTTCTGGAAACGTTGCTGATCCAGCTCAATCCATGCCCAGCCCTGCTGAGCCACGTTGGATGCATCTTCTCAGCAGCCTGGGGGGCACAGATACCTCCAAGACAAAACAGAGCCATGGGCAGGGTTGTTGATGCCACAGCTGGACAATCTGGCCCAGCAGTATCATTCAGCCAGGGGATTTTTTGGGTGCTGGAAGGGGCTGTTAGAAGACTGGTCCAATCCCAGACATTTAAGATGGCATTTTTTCCCATCCAAACTATTTCTGTAATGGGAAGAGGTGAGGTTTTTAGCAGGGCAGAGAGGAACTGCTCAGTCCTGTGCTTTCACCAGATTTCCTGTGCTCTAGGGTAACAAAAACCCTCTGCTGTCAAATAGCTGAAAAAAAGGGAAGTGGCCTTAAAAAGACACCATGACTTCGGGTAAGAATAGGTCCAGCAGTGTTAGGAAAGCAGGAGATCCCTTTTTCACATGGATATTGCTCTCATCCACAAGATTCAGTGGCTCCCAATGCCCTGTGGGTGAAAATGACCCACTGCCCATTAACTCCCAGGGCTGTGAATCACTCACCGACCCTGAGGCTGAGCCTGGCTGCCAGCGTGGCAAACTCCAGAGCCTTCTCGTAGCCCTGCAGGCTGATCTGCAGCTCTGCCAGTTTATTGAACAGCCGCAGCTCTGTCTGGGTGGCCTTGAGTTTCCTGGCCAAGGGCACAGCACCTCCCTAAGGAGAGAGAATGGAGAGTTCAGGATGTTCCTGGAGGGATCAGCACTGCCTCAGGGGGGTGACAGAGCAGCAGGACAAGGACCAAGGCAGGGGATGGGCACTGCAGGTTTAGGTTTTAGTCCCTTCTTTCCATTGAAAATGAGTTTTAAACCCCGTGGCTCTCAAAGCCTGAGCCTCACATCTCTGCCCTTCCTTGGGTGCCTGGAATTCTGACTGGGTGTACCCAGGAGTGACCAGCTCACACTCAACACCACCAAGATTTGTAGTGGAAAGAGCCCATTCCCAATCCTAAATGATCTCTGGGGTTTTTTCACACACCTGTGCTCCAGGCCTCCCACTCTGGCACCTTCAGGATCACCCCATCCCTCTCCACCCTCCATCCTTCTGGTCTGCCCTGGGGCAAAGCCCTCCCAGCCACCCCCCTGTGGGGACACAGGCTGGAAGGGAAAAGGAGCTGGAGTGACACTTGGAAAGGCACAGACATTGGTGTGATTAAATAAACCCCATATTTTAGGAGCTGCTCTTCCACTTTGCAGCTCAGCTGATAAAATAATGCTGGAGATGGAGAAATGCCAGAAATCTTCAACTCCAAGGACTTCCCTGGCACTTACCCCTTATTTATGGATATTTCAATGGGAACTGGTCACTTTGCACCTCCAGCTTCCTTTGGCACTCCTACATCACTTTCTGACTCATTTAATTCACTTATTTTCACCCCCAAATCCTCTAAACTCAGTGGATGGAAAGAAAGAGAGGGAATTCAGTGTCTGAGGGTAAGGCAAGAGCTCCTCCTTCCAGCAGGCTGTTTACAGTGCTCAGAACTTTCCCTTCCAGATTTTCCAGCCCCACAAGGCTGTGATGGGAATGTGTGGGACAGCTCCAGCCACCTCCTCCATACCTGGAAGTACATTTCCACCAGCTCATCCTCCTGTAGAAGATAATAGAGTTTTCCTGCCTGCAGCCAGGCCTCTGCTGCCTTCACAGCCTCCTCGAGGTCGATGAAGATCCTCAGGCTCTGCTTGGTGCAGTCCAGGGATTGTCTCAAAGCCCTGTGATGGCAACAGGCAAAAAGTCACTTCAGAGGAGTCCCAGGACACTCTCAGCTGTCCCCATGGCACTGACCCCCTTCCCTCTTCTCCTGTTGTTACCAAAGGCTGGGGACAAAAGGACATTCCCAGCTCTGAGCAATGTGTCCTGGAAGTCTCCATGCTTTAATGCTCAGGCTTTAATGGTCATTCGGCCACCTCAGGACAATTCAGGACACCAGTGGTGCCACTCAAGCTGCTCCTCACCCCTGTGTGATAAAGAGGGGTTTGTCCAGGTCACCTCCAAACCCAATCTGCCTCCCTAAACCGAGCCCCCGCTCTGCATGGAGCACATGCAGGGAACTCCTGTACTTCCATCTCCCAGACAGCACCTGGCACCCAAACCCACACCTTTGCCTGGTGGTTGTCCCTTGTGCAGTCATGGAGAGATCTCTGGATCTCTGGACAAGCCCCTTGTCCAGTCCTGGTCACTGGAGCACACAGGGACAGGCAGTGGGATGAGCCAGAGGGTTGGACACGGGTCCAGCTGTGGGGAAGGGGAACCCAGCAGTGTCCAAAGACAAAAGGACAAAGTTTGTTTGCTTGGTGTCTCTCGTGCTGGCAGCCAGGCCCCAGCTGACCTGGGAGCGCAGGGAATGGGGTGCTCTGTGATCCAAACACTCTGTTCACGTGACAGGTATCTGCTCCCTAAATACCTTGTCCCTGCACTCGCTGTGACCTGGCTGAGGAGGTGAACATCCCAGCTGGGGACAGCCCTGGGGACAAGGGAACTGGCTCTCCACTCTTGGTCTGATTGCCTTGAAGGTCTGTGGCCTGTCCCAGCCTCCTTCTCCCCTCTCCTGCCCAGTCTGATCAGTCCCACACAGGTGTCAGGCTGGAGATTAAAGGTGAGCTGGGTTTTAAGCACCTCAAGTCCCTCCCTGGGGACAATATCACAGCAGATATAGGAAGGGCAGCTTTGGCAGCTGGAGGCTGAAACCAGACTTACTCCAAGAGCAGATAAGAAGCCTGTTCCTCCTGGGGAGTGGTGATTAATCATTGGGATAAGCTTCCAAAGGAAGCAATGAATCCCCTGTCACTGGGTCCGCTCTGCTGAAGGCTGGATGTGACCTGGAAAACGGTGCTTGGCCAGACTCCAGTTCTGTCTGGGACAACGTTTGCCCATCTCTGGCTGACACTGAGCTGTTCCCTCTCAGAGCACAGTGAGAGCTCCTAAATCTCAGAACCAGAACTGTGGGGCAGATGGAGCCACCCACCCTGCTCAAGGGACACCCCAGGAAAGCCACTGCACTCTGGCAGCATCCAGCAGCCCCAGCCACTCACTCAGGTGTGCCCAAAGCCTGGTAGAGCAGGCTGAGGGCCTGCCTGGCATTGCCCTCCAGCTCCCTGTCCTGCAGCTGCCGTGCCAGGGACGCCCAGTGCTCGTGGTAGGCGATGCAGGCCTGCAGGTCGGGGCACACTCTGCTGCAGAAATGGCACAGACGCTCCGTGACGTGCAGCTGACCTGCGTGGCACAGGGAAAGGGGGAAGGACAGGTCAGGGGACGGTGCTGGGGAGCTGGCAGGGCCGAACGCTGCCCTGCTCCCCCCTGTACTCACTCCTCAGGTTCTGCCACTTCAGGGCAAACCCCAGCGCCAGTTCATAGCAGAGTTTGGCATCTTCCATCCTCTGCCTGTCCACCATGGCCTGTGCCAGCCACAGCAGCACCTGTGCCAGCTCCAGGTCCGGCTCTTGGTGTCCCTGGAGCTCGGCATAGAGCCGGACCGACCACAGCAGGTAGAGCTCGGCCAGCTGGGCGGCCCCACACGAGAGGCTCAGCTGGCCCAGGTTAGCCAGGGCCACGGCCTGGTTCCTCCTGTTCCCCGTCTCCTTGGCCTTGTGCAGGGCCCTCAGGAAGTTCTCTGCAGCCTCCTGAACGTGTCCCTGGGCCCCGAGGGCCATGGCCAGGAGGTTGTGCACGGCCCCGGGCTGGGTCTCGCTGGCGGTGCCGCGCAGGGAGCGCAGCAGCTGCCGCAGGATGTCCCCAGCCGGGCCCGGCCGCTGCTGCAGGAGGTGCATCCACCCCAAGGACAGCGAGGACTCAAAAGCCTCCTCCTCCCCCAGCAGCCTGCCCAGGGCTGCAGCTCTGGCTGAATAGCAAACAGCCCCGTCCAGCAGCCCGTGCTGCAGGTACGTCCTGCACAGCACGGCGCAGAGCGTCCTCTGCATGGGCACGGCCCTGCTCTCGCAGCAGAACTGCAGCGCTTGCTTGAGGTACAGACAAGCCAGCGCTGGGATGCTGCTCCTGTCCAGCTGCTTCCCCAGGAGTTTGGGAGCGTTTTGGAGGATGAAGCCAGCTCTCCAGATGGGGGTCGGTGTCCCCTTGGTGCTGCTGGGAGCAAAGGACCTGACAGAGGCCAGTGCGAGGTTTGGCAGGCACTTCTTGTCATAGAGGTAGCCCAAGGTGGCAGCAGCATCCAGTGGCCCACGGGAGCCTGGGCTGAGCCAGGTGGTGCTGAGACATTGGAGATGCTCCAGAAAGGGCAGCACCTCCTCGGTTCTGCCCAGCTGCAGGAAGAGCTTGACAATGAGGAAGCAGACGCGGGCCTCCAGCGGAGCGTTGCCCACAGCGATGGATTCCCTCAGGATGTACGTCAGGAGCTCCAGCTCGCTCTCTGAGCTGAAGGAGCGGCCAGGAAGGCACACGAGCAAGGTCAGCGTCTTCCCCAGCAGGGAGGAGAACTTGTGCTTCATGTTCTGCTTCAGGTAGACGGAGGCGAGGCTCACGTGCAGCGCTGCCAGCAGGGGCAGGTCCCCAAAGCCCCTGTCCAGGACACTCATGGCCTCCTCAAAGTACACCCGAGCCTGGGACAACTTGAGCTTTTTGATGCAGAGCTTGCCCAGGAGGAAACAGAGCCTGACGTGAGCCCAAACCGAACGAGTCCTCTTGGCCCAGTTCCGGGAAGTCTCCAGGTACAGAACCAGTTCATCCTCATCAGAGAAGCCATAAAAAGTGGACTGCAGAAAGGAAAAGCTGAGATCATAAAAGCTTTGGAAACTGGGCACGAAGCTGTCTTGGTTGAGGAAGGTCAATATAGGATCAAAGATATCAGCATCCTCCATGTGTCCAGTGTTGAGGTCAATGAAGAATTTGGGGTAGTCCAAGTCATCCAGCTTCTCCAGGAGAACATCTTCCAGTGTGGCAGCGGCTGTTTCACTGCCTGGGCTGGACAGCTCTGAGGTGCTGCTGGTAGCCCAGTCATTGATTTCCTCCCAAGACTGGAGCACTTGGATTTCTTTACTGCCATGGAGAGCAGCCTCTGGAAGGGAAACCATAGTGGGATCACAAAGAAATTCTTCCCTGTGGCTGCCCCTGGATCCCTGGAAGAGTCCAAGGCCAGGTTGGATGGGGCTTGGAGAAACCAGGGCTAGTGGAAGGTGTCCCTGTCATGGCAGTGGGCGGCACTGGATGAGCTTTAAGGTTCCTCCCAACCCAAACCATTCTCTGATGTTTCCTCATGTCCAAATTCACCCTCAGAAGCCATCACCAAAGCCTCACCCTCCGTCCCCTCCTCGTACTCACCCTGTGGCACTTGTGGGAACACGGCTGTGGGTTCAAAACCAGCTGTACAAAGAGACAAACAGAAAACAAAACCCCAAATCCTTGGTCGGTGTCAATGCACAGAAATCAGTCCCAAAGCCAGAACAGAGAAACTGAGAACCCCCAGAAACCCTGACCCGGGTCCTGCAGGCCAGGCTCAGTGGAGAACAGCATTGCCAGGGTGAGCAGCTCAGGAGCTGCCCTGGGAGCAGAGAAGGTCCCTACAAACCCCTGGGGTCACCTCCTGAGGGCACCTCCAGCCCCCATCACCAGCCTGAGCACAGTTTGGTGCTGTCTCCTCCCCAGAAGTTTCCTCCACTGCACTCCCATGATCCTGGGGCTCCCCAGGCACTGCCCAGCTCTCCGTGGGGATCCAGGGAGTGGGATAAAAGGAGAGGGGACACTCACCCAACCTGTAGACAGAGGTGATGTCAGTGTGTGCCAGGTCCCCCAGGAGGGTGGCAAAGTGCTGCTCGTCACCATTGCAGGGGATGTGCAGCACTGGGGACTTCTCCTCTTCACTCAGAAACACAAAGCCCTTTCCCCTGGGGTGGGGCAGGAGAAAAGAATCAGTGTGTCCCCAGCCCCTGACACTGCTGGCCTGTGGGGTGGGGTGGGATGGGATGGGATGGGATGGGCTG